ACAGGCTAACACAGAGGCAGACAGCAAGTTCATCACCAAACCCACTGACACAGCATCGCTACACCCCTGGTTCTGCTCTGTTTTCAGCTCAGCTTTTCTCTTCAGGCCTGTTCCTGGAGGTTCCACTTTGCCATGAGTGATGATGGACAGCAGACGCCCAACACCAAAGTAAACACCAACCAGACAGACGACAAGGTAGTTAGCAGCTGTGGCAGACTGACCAAAACCTGCAGCTGCCAGACCGGCGATTTGATGGGCACATGCTAGGCTAATGCCAATAGCTATGACAGCCAGAACTGCTTTCTTTACTATGAGTGCAACACTGCCGATGATGAGCAGAGCTAAAGTGAAAGCTGCCAGACCAGGGATCAGAGAGGATCTCAGGTCTGTGGGCTGCAGCACTCCCTGCCCCACCAGGATGTACACCAGACCTGAACCACACCACAGGGCGGAGACAGTCAGACACACAGACGAAAACAGCTGGGCGTAGGACAGACTGCGGCAGATACCTAAGAGACAGAGAGTAAACAGAGGAGAGAGACCAGGGAGAGGATTACAATTTTTAAACTAGAACAAAACAACTAACAGCACAAATCAACAAATGAAATAAAACTTGTGATATTCAGTCATCAAAACCAACCTGCATAAGCTAAGAGGGCTGCAATGATGAGGAGCAGAATCCCCAGTGCAGTGTAGGGGATGAGCTCTCTTTCAGGAGAGCTGCCATAGTCGTTCACCAAAAGCAGGAGAGAACCTACAAGTTATAACAAAAGCCATTATGTAGAACCTCCCACTGGTAACTAAAAATCTAAAACTCAACTTAGGTGCAGTGTTAAAACAGTTTTTTTTGTTTTTATTTTTTTTCAAACCATTTTAATTAAAATAGAGATGTGATTTTACACTCTCAGTAGCTAAAAGTATGAGTAAGTGTGAAATGTCCCTGTTTTTAATTTCTTTACACTGCTACATTTTATGAAGGTACTTAATAATAAACACAATTAATTAATTTTTTTATGCTTTAGCATCAACAGCTTGAAACTCAAACAACATGCTTTTTAAAAGTTGATACTAAATTAACTTGTCACTCAAGCTTTACCTGACACATAATTATCAATAAGAGGAGAGTTGGTTCCCGGCTGCTTTCAGTAATTTTTAAAAAAAAAAAACGTTTTAGGGTTCAAACATTATGCAACATGCTTTTTGAATTTTGATACCAAAATACAAAAAAGTCGGATATTTAGCATAGTCATATGCAATTATTGTTAATAAGTAATGACAACATCACAGCAGAAAGTGGGCTTATGATTGTTTAATTCAAATGTTTAAAAAATCGTAACTGAACAAGGGAAATAAAATCTTACCGCCAGAGATGCCCAGGATGCCCACGGACACATGCAGTGAGCCGAGTTGAGCCATAGCAGGAGTGTGTCTCTGGAAACGTGTGGCTGCGCTTTATACGTATGCGTGTGACGTCATAACGCAGCAGGAGAAACCTGAGAGGAGAAGCTGCACCTCACGAGGAAACAACACGGATCCGTCACTGTACAGGGAGAAAATAGGCTTTTCCCATGTTCCCGCATATACCAAGTGTCTGTTGCCCAACTGCGGTATTATGATACATCATAGGCAAGGATATAATGTTTGCCAATGGGTAAAAAAAACACCTGTGTTATTTACTTCATACATTAATATTACTTAAAGTCTAAATATCAACGTGCATTGTTCTTGTGTGAACACAAAAGTTAATAATTGAATTTAGAACTTATAACCAGTAAATAATAAGTAATATGGATCAGGTGATTTGTGTAACTTGTAACGTGTGATATTTCTGAATAAATCTTATTCATCTTATTCATAAATACACGTGTGATTTTCTTATATCACCTCAAATGCATTACTTGAACAAAATATTGAAAAAATTGAGCGCATAAAGGTGTTTGACCCTGAAAAATTACTTTTCGTTTTGTCTCAACCACAGAGCTTTGAATGTAAGTCTATAATAAATCATTAACCATGAGGTTTAAATGTGTTATCATCTCTATTGTTCATTTAAAATATTGAGAGGAATGATTCAGCATTTTTTTTCCAACACAGGCCTCACATATCCGACAGTGTTCCTGGTTTCCTGTAAGGTGCATGATGTCAGCTTTTTGGTGTGGGAGGAGAAAGGAGAGGCAGGCAGGACTATAAAAAGTCTGCTTCAGAGTTCAGCCGGCACACCTCTACTGAGCAGCTCGACTTAACACAACTTCCTGGCTACCTGCATATACAAGGTGAGAGCTACTATATCTACATTATCTTTACCTCTGCTATAATTCAACAGCTGCTTTCTATGTAATACTTTATTAACAAGCGGATTGATTTTAGACAATAATGTTATAAAAGCAGCACTATAATCCACGAAGGAAAGGGTGAAATGCTAAATGAGTGTCTGATACATAATCATCTTCAAGCGCCGTGTGTATTTATTCCAGCAGACTCAAACCTCTTCGTGTAACTTCTCTTTATTGGTGTCAACTGTGTCACCTGGCAGCAGCAGCAGCAGCAGCAGCACACCTGAGACTCCTTTCTCACCTGGCTCTGTAAATTTTTTATGTAAACATGTGCAACAGGTGGCTGAGGCACAGTGCTTAGTTAATCAAATGCTCTTCATATCTGATAGTGAAACAAATATGGGATAACCACTTAATGGTGTCAAAGTAACAGAAGTTATGTAGTCTAGATAGACTACATAATCCTGAGAGTCTATATGTGCTTTATGTGTGTGTTTCACAGGAATCATGGTGAAGCGTGTTGCAGTTATTCTCTCAGGCTGTGGCGTCTATGATGGCACAGAGATCCACGAGGCCTCCGCTGTCCTCGTCCACCTGAGTCGTGCTGGAGCAAAAGTAAGAGC